GCAAATGGCTGCAATATAACAAAGAGTGAAAAATTGAAGGGGGTCTGAATACTTTCCGTACCCACTGTGTATGTGTATATATATATATATATATATATATGCACTGTACAGCTATGCCCTCTGGATTACCAAATCAATCCCTATTTTAATAAAAGTTCCAGTGACAGATCTCCTGTTAGACATACAAATAACAGGTTCACCAATTTTTCAAAACATAAAACATGCAAGCTGCAAAAATGATGTTAGCATTTTTTACTGCTAATGCAGCAGAGAGCATTTTTTGAACTTTGAAAATCGCTTGATTATGCAAAGTAGGGATGCACAATATATTGGTACCATATCAGTTATTGGCTAATATTAAAGATTTTGAAAGAAATTTATCTTTTTACATGGCTCTCTGGAATACTTGATTCTGATTCGTCAGTCTAAACAATGTTTTTAGTCTCACCCAAAATGTTTTTTTTTTTAAACATTTAAAATCAATATTTATTATTAACATTATTTGGTGAAAAGCCATCTAGTAAGTAGTATGACTGTACTTAATCCCTTAAATGTTCATCTTGTTTAAAAATTCAACCCAAATCAATATTTTGTGTCCAATTATTTACTCATGTGGCAAGTAGCTATGAAATAAGAGGGATAAATGTACACCCAGCTGGTTGACAATGACAAAAAAAAAAAAACTGGCAAAATTATTTCATAATAACCAGCTAGACGCACAATATTCCTGACATATCTGTCAATATTAGATGTGCTATTAAGCATGCATATTTGCCCTGTTTTTATATTAAAAGCACCTTTGCCATCATCTCAAACTTAACTCAAAGTTAATCTTTGAAACAAATAATTTAATGACACTGTTAAATGTTATCTTTAGCACTCAAACAACTGAAATCTCAATTTCATACTGTAAATTTACATTACATTTAAAAAGACTGATTTCAAATTTTTTTTTTTTAGGGTTTTACTTTCAATTTATTCAGACAGAATAGTACAGAATTTTAATACGGACCATTGTTATCAGCCATAAAATAAAAATAATTATCAGCTTACAATTATCAGACAGAATTTGAATATCAGGGCATCCCTAGTTACCTATTGTGTCAACCAATGTTGATACACACTATGCCAAACAGAAGAGTAGATGTTTAAATCTTCACCCATTATAACACGTATGGTACTGTTATGGCAAACTGCAGCATGTGGCATCACATTCAGAGGGGTAGAATTGACATGCAGTTCTAGGGCTGGGCGATATGGCCAAAAAAAATCAACAACAACATATATCTGTATTTTCTAGCTGTACTGCGATATACGGTATATATCTCTGTATTTTCTCTGTTTTTCTATTTGGATGAAAAAAAATTATGTATTTTTAAAAATTTAATTTTACATCCTGCCTGATGTTCTCCAATGAAACAATGTTCATATTAAAGGCTATGAAAACAAATATAGTGAATGTACCATGTACAGTAGGTTATGCTATTATATTACGTGCAAAAAAGGGTTCAAATCAGATTACATTCGAACATTACAATTTAAAAACAAAAAAAAACAATGCTTTTTAAAGCAGAAGTTAAATTCACTAAGCCAAAAATGAAAATAAAAGTACTGGGATGGCGCTCGTTCACTGAAGTCTTCAAGAGACTTGAAGGCTCGTCCATTCCTGACAGCAAAATGGAAATATTTCCATGACTTTCTAATGTTTACAGAAGGAGAAAATACCAGTGAAACGTAAGTTATGCACTGAGGAAAACACCGCATCTCTCTGTCAGCAAAACATGTATCTGTCAGAGCATCTGACGGGGTAAGTAGCTTTAAACTATACATGTTAACTATATCTTACGAGTTATTTTAAAGCCCTTAATATAAAGCATGTCTCATGTTTAGGACAAACTGGATTATGCACTCATTGCCTCATCCCATATCGTTTGTAAAAAATATATCGATAAATCGTACAAACTTTATATATCGCCCAGCCCTATGCAGTTCATGTCATCAGGATGTGTTGCAGGTAAAAGCGTTTGCCAGATGTTAGAGAACACGCCCATTTTGAAAAATGGGTAGAACTCTTAATCAAGTAACCATGATTCCCTAAAAACAAGTTGAAGGATGAAAGCACAGAGAAACCCACTGCTCACCTGAACCTTACTCATTTTGAAGAAACTAGATTATAATCAAGTGCAGCACAACAGGCTTCTTATCAAAAACCAATGCATATGCACACACACAAACACACACACACAGACCTCCTACCAAAATTAGAAGAGCACTTATCCAAGGAAGTCGCCTGTGTCAAGAGGACAATAACTGTGAGCCAAGTACTAGTGAACACAACACAAAGATACCCTGTACACTACAGCACTGACCCACAAATGATGAGGAACTTACCTGGGTTATCATCCATGAAGTGCACATCACCACCTGCACCAGGAGACTGCAAGAGAGAGACAGAGCATGAGAGAAGGAAACAGAGTTCAGAAAGAATTCAACAGCTCATCTGTTTCTTTCCGGCAGAATAGACAATTGGAAGAGTGAAACCTTTAGGTGTCTCCCAAGAATAGCTCTTTTTGGCAGAAATGCAGAAATGCTGGGTGTAAATAATTTCTCATTCATTTTAAAAGACAAATGTAGATGACAAGATGAGGTCTTTTGAATGGCACAGAGGTTGTTTGGATCAACAGGCTCTTGACATCTGAACCACAGAGCTGTTCTGGGAGACGCCGCTTCACCTTCACCTGACCAGAAAGCACTTTGTAGGGGAGCTGCTGCTTCAGACTTGCACCACTGCTGTGGACAGACTTACTGAGGGACATCTAGATTAAAATGCCTCAGATTCCTGTTTCATGTCCATAAACCCTGAAAAATCCTCATGTTCCTCTGTCAGAGAGCCAGGGATGTGGTGTTATAATAATGCTGATAATGCCCCAATAACAAGACTTTTTCCATCTCTTCACCTGCTAATTTTAAGAACTGGAAGAAAATGTATAATATACCAACCTCTGCTTTTCACAAAGCCCACTTAAAACTTCACACAACAGTCCTTCCAAACACAACACAGGCATGCTGTACAAACCTTCACCCCCACCAAAAAACATGTTGCCAACAAGTTCTTTTTCATTTTTTTTGAAAAGGCTCAAAAATCCCTTGGAAAAACCCTGAGAGCTGTATTAAATTATCCCAGTCAGGGTGAAGGTGCTTCTTCACACATTAAATCACATAACACAACATAAATACTCACAACACACAGCCAAAACATGTAAGTCTCAAAAGGCCACCAAATAACACATAAGGATTCACCAGGCTTCCTGTACATTGCTTTGCTTGAATACAGTGTGCAGTAAATTAAGATTGACTAGCAGGTATTTTGAATTACCCGTTTCTAACATAATCAAACAAGACAAACATATCTTAAAGAATTTAAAGGCGATTTTAAATGGGAATTTACACTACCATTCAAAAGTGTGGGGTCGGTAAGTTTTTTGATGTTTTTGAAAGAAACATTAAAACAACACTGTGAATCGCAATACTATTTTAATATATTTTAAAATGCATTTTATTCCTGTGATGTAAAACCTGAATTTCAAGCAGTCATTACTCCAGTCTTCAGTGTCACATGATCCATTAGAAATCATTCTAATATGCTGATTTGCTGCTCAAGAAACATTTCAATTTAAATTCAATTAAGATGAAAAAAAAGAGTAAAAAAACAGCATTTATTGAAATCTTACTAAAAAAAAAAAATCTTACTAACCCCAACCTTTTAAACAGTGTATGTTTGTAATATATATCCTTGTAAGCTTGTGTAAGGATGTTATTATTACTAAAATGGAATGACATGTTTTACGCATACTTCTAAAGCTTAAAAAAAAACAGCAGTCAATAACTAGTTGTAACATTTAACATTTATGACAAAATAGTAGTATTGTGTGGCTATTGTGAGAGAAACACAAAATTCCAGTTAAGTTAAAAAGTTTTGGCTGCATATCTGAAAGGACAAAAGCAGTAAACTGCTTGAGAATAAAAATGACTAAATATAAAAACATTTGTTTTAATTACATAAAATATTTAGAATATAAAAATATCCTTAAAAGACAAAATATAAACTCTTGATAGTACTATTGTTATCTGTCACTTTGGTTACAGGCTTTATTCAAGGCCACCATGAGTTAGAGAAGAGGACTGACTTCTGTTGCCTGATCATACAGACATTATTACGACATTATTATTTCTGTCTGAAAAGGACAATGTGAGAGTAACAGCTGTTAGCAAATATCAACCTCATACACGACATTGTCAGTGTAGCCTGAATTGCTATACTTACCAATTAAATAATGCAGGTCTTAAAAACATGTCCTCCACCCACTACACTCAACTGAAATCAATAAAATTTGAAAAATGTTCTGCTCAGCAAACCAGTGCATTAATTATACCTTTCAAAGAAAGATGCTGATTGTTGGTCATTGAAATAATCCAGATTAAGCAAATTTGATTGTCAAGGGATATGCTGAACAAACGTAAATGCTTTAGCTGAATCTTCACACCAAAATTATCATTCATTCAATATTTTGAGGGTTTTATTTAATTTCACAAGCCAATTTAGAATTGTGCCAGTCTCACAGATTTGGTGGTCTTTTGGTCTGGTATTAGAGGAACAGTATTGGAACATTAACAATCATAAAAATTACTTCACCCCACATGCCCAATTTCCCTTCATACAAAGATCCAGAAACAACCACAAAACATCAAAGCAAGAAACACAAGTTCCTTTGTTCCCATGACCCCCTGCAACCCCAGTAGAACTGACTCTCCCAGTGACACCACATGAAACAGCCACATTCAGCTCTTTTACTCAATTTGATAGTCAAAAAATGGCCTTCAGACATGCTGTAGGCGTCAGACCAGTTTGGCCAAATGTGTGTTATTAGCTGCTGTCTGAGGGTGAGTGCATGAGGCTGTACACAGAGCAGAGGGAGGGAGAGGACAATGCAAAGACGTTTTCCTTCTGAGTGTTTTAGTGCATTAGTATGTTTTGGTTCAACGCAAAGCCCATGGACCAAACTGTAAACCCCACCTTTATGCTACATCCGTATACCCAGAAGAGAAGCACATGGTATTGACAATGTGTAGATTAAGAACAGGATGTGTTTTAAGCTGTGGAAATCATCCTTAGAACCAAAAACTAAACCCAAATCGCTGACAACTAAGATCAAGAATGATGCTTAAAGCAGCAGTAACATGAATGACCATGCTGCTCACGTTGGCGAGTACAGGGCCCCTAATAGTTGACAGTTTTGAACTAGCTATCAGAAGGGCCAGGGAGAGAAGGAGCAGGGGAGCAGGGAAAGCCAGGAGGACAGCAGTGGCTCAAAGGGTTCGGGCAGGCTGGACTCCTCGATGCTTTGCATGCAGGCAATACCTGAATGTCGTAAACAGGTTTGGAAGAAGGAATGGCAGCAAATTGTCGGTAGTCAAACTTCTTTTCTGACAGGGACTAAAAGGACAGCAAACAGGCATAAGCAGTGGAGAGATAAAGAGGGGGGGAATCAATATTGTAAAAGAGAGATGGCAGGATGGAGGGAGGGAAGGACAGAGATGTGTAAACGTACAAGAAGGAGAAAGGACAACAAAGAAAAGAGATAAAGGAAAAGTTCATGGATGTTGCTCTATATGCTATGGACATGACTGTTAGAGTAAAGAATGGCTATCATCGAAAGTAAAAAAAGTGGATTAGTCTACCAAAACAACAATCAACTAAATGAACAAACAAACAATTGTCTCATACCAGTCTGCCTGGTGAAGTCACTGCCCGTGGACTGATATCTGTTTAAGAAACAACAATGGATACATTTAACACAACTGACTTTTAAAAATGACCCAGTAACACACAACAGAGTATGAAAACAGAGCCCAGTATTGTTGTACTCTCTTTCAGAAAAGGTAAATGAGATCATCACCTTCCATTGGTGTTGGAGAGGGTGTGGGCGCAGGGGACGGCGACTCTGACAGCTGATCCAGCGTGCCACGCTTCTTCCCCTCTTTAGACTTGGCAATGACCATCTGGGCCTTCAAAGCATCCTGCTCTAGAGACTTCATCCTGGAGAGAGAGGGAGATACAGTGAGACACAGAGAGTGATAGGAGAATAGGAGTTAATTTTGATGGAGGCTGTCAAATTTTTTTTAGCAAACGTTACCTTCAAAGCATCCTGCTCTAGAGACTTCATCCTGGAGAGAGAGGGAGATACAGTGAGACACAGAGAGTGATAGGAGAAATGTAAACAGGATGAGAAGTGAAAGATAAGCAGAGCTGCTGTGCACACTGATTGGTTAATACAGGAGAAGTTAATTTTGATGGAGGCTGTCAAATTTTTTTTAGCAAACGTTATGAGAAGGAATCACACAAACTAGAGATGCACCGATTAGCTTTCATGCTGTAAAACAACCATGAAAGCTCAAGGGGGAAGAATACTATATAGGCATTATAGGACCACTGAGGTATCAACCACCAATGCACCATTAAAGGGATAATTCACCCAAAATTGAAAATTCAGTCATTATTTATTGAATTAGCATTTTTGGGTATTATCCTACTAAAGTTGTATGACCTTCTTTCTTTTTCAGACACACAAATAAAATGTGCTTGTCTAAATAACGACAGTGATTAGTGACCAGCTTTAACAAAAAAGATGCAAAAGTATCAAAGAATGATCCCATTCAACTTGTGACATATTTTCCAAGGACATACAATAGGGTTTTGTAAAAAGACAAACCAAAATTTTATTTATTACTTAGTGAAAACCTGACCTTGGCCATTGGTTTGATGTAGATGACGGCAGGTTTATAAGACCGGGCAGGGTGAGTAGGTGAGTAAATAATGACAAAATTTTCATATTTGGATAAACTACTCATTTAAGCCAAGAACTTTAAGCTCTGCCAAACTTTGTTAGATTAGAGTTAGTTTCAGTATGGTGCACACAGTCCATTCACAGACTCATATTGCACACAAAAATGACTCAATCATTCCAAAATCCCAAGCTCTAATCTTTAACCAGTGTGTTGCTTTTTCAGATTTAGCCAAACCTAAACATCACCTAAAAAGCTGTGTGATTGGTAATTTTTACCTTGCAATGTGGACCAAACATTGCTGAAATCTCTCACACATTTAAACTCAGTGAATATTGCTTAATTGAACACTGCCTACATGTGAAAAATTTCAAGTTTTAACACAGCTTCTATATGAAGGTAAGCAGGTGCTTCTAATGAAAGTCTTGGTATAGACTATAATTAGTATCAGTGCACCTCTAATAAAAAACAACTGCAAGCAACTTGAATAATGACAAAGAAAAACACTTGTTATCAGGACAATACAAGACCTTTACTGGTACACAGATGGGAGGCAAAAGTGAGTGAGCTGAGAGAAGGAGGGAGTGTGCTACCAAACTAAATAATAAATAAAATAGCACATGTGCAGAAGCAGTAGTGGGTCTTGTGGGACAAGTTCATCGTTCAGAAAAAGCCACCACAACATTTTTCACCCTTTACACACTATGCACTATAAAATGTCCACAAGCACCAAGCACCCCAAGCGGTGTCAGGCATCACAGCTAAGCCCCCATGATACTTTTTGGCTGTTAAGGGCAGACCTGGGCTGACAGGAAGAGGAGGAGCAGGAAGTGGGAGGGGCTGCAGAGCTGCCTAGAGATGCTCTCACACGGGACTGGTAAAGCCGCTTAGCCAGGTCTTGCTCATACTGCCTTACGTCCTCCTCTAGACCACAAGGCCTTGGGAGCAGCAAGTAAGAAAGTAGAGAGGATAGAAGACGGTAACACACAAAGAAAAGGAAAGAGAGGAAAAAGACTACAGATGAAAGAAAACACTATGAAACGGACAGTAAAGATTAAGAAGGGGAGGTCTACATTGAAACTCAGGGCCATCAAAGACAAATGCACAACATGAGATGTGTATATAGAAATAAAATATATAATATATCTATTTCATGGATTCCTATATCCAAAGAATGTGAAAATGTCTTTGATAGCCCCATTCATCAAGGGGAAGACATGAGAAACTGGGTAAGCATTTCCTTGAGCCTGGAGAAAAAGCTGAGATTAAAATACCACAAGTGGACAGCTCTTCAGAGATCAGCGTTACAGAGGAAAGGATGAGACTGGAGAGAGAAACATTTCACATAACACATCATTCTCTCTCTGGCTGTTATACCTGGCTGCTCTCCACATGGCCCTCTTCTCTGCCTCCAGGGCTCGTTTTTCAGCAGGCGACAGCTCCTTGTCCAGGACGACAGCAAGCTCCGGGCTCTGCATGCGTAATCGCTCTTGTTGCCTACGCTCTGCTTTGGCCGTCCGAATGGGAGCCACAGATTCACTGGGATAAACTGGGATCAAACTGTTAAGACAAACACTGGGTCAAGCAATTCAAATATCTTAAAAAATACAAAACTAGGTTTTAGCATTCCTCACCCCGTCATGGAGTTGGGTCTCTGTTCCAGTCTGAAGCTGTCTTCCATTGAATTCCGCTGAGAGTCTCCTTTACCGTCCACGGAGGAGGGACTGGATTGAAAAATGATAAATAAATACTTTTTACTATTTTATTATTATTAAATGGTTTGATGAACCTTTCAAATGTTTGCGGTCAGAAAGATTTTTAAATAAATTAAAAAAATTATTTTTAGCAAGGACAAAATAAATTGATCAAAAGTGACAGCAAAAACATTTATAATGTTACAAAAGATTTCTATTTCAAATAAATGCTGTTCTTTTGAACTTTCTATTCATCAGAGAATCCTGAAAAATATGTTTCACATTTTCCACAAAATATTAAGCAGCACAACTGTTTTCAAAATTGATAAAAGGAAATGTTTCCCGAGAAGCAAATCAGCCAATCATATTAGAATGATTTCTGAAAGATCATGTGACACTGAAGACTGAAGTATTGGCTGCTGAAAATTCAGCTGTCACAGGAAAAAAAAAAAAAGCATTTTAAAATATATTAAAATTAAAAAGAGTCTTAATTTTACTATATCTTTAACCAAATAAACGTCTTGTTTTTTTAAAAGACTTTTTCAAAACATAAATTGTTCTGACCCCTCACTTTTAAATGGTAGTCTATATTTTTTATGCATTTATTTTATTAATCAAAGATATCAGAATGGGAGTTCTAGATGTTCAGAGTGTGTTCTGTAATCAAAACTTCAATGATAAAAAGCAAACAAACAAACAAAAAAACCCACTCCCATATGAAAAAAAACTTTGCAACTTTGAAATACTAGCAAATGATTGAGCAAACGTTGCTTACCCTGAGCTGCCACAGTGGCTGGGAGGTGTGGCACACTGCCTCAGAGATGGGGAACTGTGGCTTCCTAAGCTCTCGACCTTGTACTCCACACCATCAAGGACAACCTTTCCGTGAGCCTTCATATCTGCCACCTGCTTCGCCAGATCTTCCTCCTCATCCTCCTCATCTTCATCCAGCATATATTCTTGTGTCCTTTGTTCAATTCGCTTTGCTGAGAAAAGTCATTGACAAACAATTTAGCATGATTCAACGATCAACTCAAGTTACTGTAGCTTAACATCAATGTTTGACAACTAAACAGACACAAACCTTCTTCCTCTTTCATTTTCTTCAAGTCATCTTCTCCCACAAGTGAGATGCGAGGTTTGGGTTTGTCTGGTGTCTGCTGCTTCACGTCAATCTCAAAATATTTCTGCCTGTCTCTGAAGGAGCGCTGCTCTGGGCCATCTCTGCCAATAGAGGAGGGGGTCTGGGAGAGAGAGAGCGAGGATTCAGATTTCAGATCAGTTGTAAAGAACACTATACATGCAACCAAATTTTACATGCATCCGACATGCAAGAGCAAGTCCCATTAATTCTGAAATTCAGACAATGATTAAAACTTTGCACAAATACACCAAATCTTTGCCAATCCACCACCATGATGATGTAGTTATTGCATAATGTGCTGCTACTGCAAAAATATTCAATTTGCTGCTCGCCTGAAGCCTCTTCTCACCAATAATAATTGCTTTGATTCAGAACACCGATCAATCTCGTTCCCATATTTTACCACAACGCATGCTGCCAGGTGATCGGGCTTCTTGACATTGCGGACACACAATTTATTATGTTTCTTTGTTGCAGTTCGAAGCGACACATACACCTGCACCACCACCACTCAAGTTTAGAGGAATCAAAGTGTGGTTTTGCTGGAAATCAGATGGGTACCTTCAACTCCACTGAGGGGCGAGACAAGCGTGGCACGGCTGCCAGGCTCCTGTACTCGTGGCGGTCAGATGAGAGAGAGGGATGAGGCCTGAGAGGACCACTGCCCTCAGCCTCATCCACAAACACCTCATTATTCAGCTCAGGCTGAAAGACCCATCATGTACAACATATCAACACCACACTTGCAAACAATATTACATTGTTAATTTGAGTTGTGGCGAGACAGTACAAACCAAATATGTGTTATGGGTCAGGCTCATACAAAAGTCATCATCATGTAGAAGAAATATTTGGAATACACTACACATCTTCTGAACAGATTTTCAAACACTATGTATCATACACTTTGAAATTTGAAAATGGTTACAGTGGAAAAACTGCTCATCATACACTAAATGATATAGGATCAGACTACCAAACTTTTAAATAATTCTGAACACAAACTCACACAGAAACACGTGATTTGTTGCTAGGAGACGCATGACAGATAAAAACAATGTGTTCTAAATTTGGCTCAAAATATCAAACATGTTTAAAATCCTCAGACTAAACAGAACACAAGAAGTCACAATCTGCAGACTGACTTTTGGCAACTAGCATTGACTGGTCCAGACTAAACAAAAATTGTGTAGTGTATTCCAGCTTTAAAGGGGTCCTATTATGCTCTTTTACAAAGTCTTGATTTTGTTTTGGGGGTGTACTAGATAGAACAGGCTCTCATACAAGGTTGTTCGAAAAACACATTATTTTTCACATATTTTACATTATTACAACACCTCTCTCCCCAGTCTGGCATGAACGGCTCGAATAGTTCCTGCAGTGTTGCCAACTGCTTTCAATTGAAAGTAGCTAAAACTGGTTGCTAAATGTCACTAGATGACATCACAATGGCAAATTCACTGATC